TCTTTATGAACATTCCACCCGGAAAAACCCGCTATGAGTTGATAGTTAATTTATACGCCTGTAAGGATTATAGTAGTTATTATTCTGCACTTTTCCCCTATACATTATTTTATAAAAATAATCTATATTTCTGATATTTAGTAAAGTTTCAGTTTAAAAAGAAGCCTTATAAATAAATAGATTAAGTACAAAGTTTTAAAATGATGAATATCATGTTCCTGTTAACCTTTTTGTAAAAGCAAGGATAATTTAATTTAGCAGGCTAGGAGCTTGCATGACAATATCTGAATATGTTCCTGTATGAATTGAATGTGTTGAACTTATAAAATGAAACCAAGTGTTCAATACATTGTAGGTTGTTAATAGTTACCTATCATATTTAAATATAAAATAACATGTTTATGCTCTTTATTATTCACCTACATATAACAGTCTTATAAGAATATAAGTCAAACAAAAAACGTAAAAACTCAACAATATCCTCTGAGTAGGCTAAACATTAGCATGTAAATGATAATTAATTGATGCCTATACACAAAAATTACGTAGACAAAGATGTCTAGATATTGACTTTCATGATCAGACGAGACAGTAGAGACAAGTTTCTCGATATCATACCTTCACTTGCCGCACAGGATTCCGCGTGTTTTAAACATTTTTGGAATACAGGATGGAAAAACAAATCAAATAACTCAGTTCTAGCCATTTTATAAACATAAATATGGTTAAATTCATTAAAATACACTTATTGTAATACACCTATAACCTCATTTTATAAACGATGTCTACATTATTATATAACGCAATTTTAATAGAGATTCAAAATAAACGATTCTTTTCGGTTAAATATCACAGTGAAACTAGGATTAATCATAAATATGTTAAAATAAAGATTTTCTTTACTACAAAACCGAAGCCTATTGACAATTTGACAACTTTCACAAATTTGACGTTTCATGACTCGGTGTTGCCAGTATAATACTACTTTTTTTTTCTAAAGTCGTTCGGATACGCGTCAAAAATGTTAAAAGTTAAGATTTAGGAAATACGAATGAGTCGAATTTAATTTCAATCTTACCTTCGTCTGGTTCCAAGTTGCCGGCCAACATTCTAATAAATGTAGTTTTGCCAGTACCATTCTCTCCCAACAGCACTAAAATTTCAGAATCTGAGAATTCTCCAGGGTGCACTTTCAAACTAAAGTCACCCATCAATTTCGACATCTCTGGGTATTCATAATGGTTCATTCGTTTGATCTGTTGAAATTTACAAAATTATTAGAGATATTTTTTTTGTTTAAAATTCTGACTATAGTAGGTAACTTAATAAGTTCTGAGAAAATTCATCTTACCTCTTCTTCAGTAGCTGACTCGGCGACTTTAAATACTAACGATTCAGTTCTGAATCTCATATTTTCAGTGGGGACAAATCCATCAAGGAAAATATTAATACCTAAAATATAAACAAGTTTTTAAGTATACATCAACTAGAATAAACACCAGATTCAGTTATTTTGCTAGATCTTACCTTCCCTGACAGAGAAAGGCATAGTCACAACACCATAGGCACCAGGTACGCCATACAGACAGCAAATAAAGTCAGACAAGTAGTCCAACACTGACAAGTCGTGCTCCACCACTATAATAAACCTGTGTGGGAAAAATATAGGGTTTGAAAATGGTAAGTAATCATAGATCGTTCTGTTATTTTACCAAGAGCGACAGCATACAGTTGTATCTAGATCTTTACAACTACTTACTTGTCAGGATGAATGAGTGATCGAATTGTGCGGGCAGCGTTAAGACGCTGCTTGACATCCAAATAAGAAGATGGCTCATCAAACATGAAGATGTCTCCATTCTGGATGCACACCATAGCGCAAGCAAAGCGCTGCAGCTCTCCACCAGACAGGGCGGCGATCTCACGATCGCGGATGTGCGATAGATCTACGTAGGAAAACAGATTATTTTAAATTCTGCTCCTATTTAGCAATCAGAATGAACAATTGTTACTTCTTTTTCTTTTTTTATAGTACTATTGTTTTACTATTAGTTTCTTATTATATAATTAGGATATTAAATATATTTCTTGACTGTATAATGTATTGGGGCGTAAGCTGTAAAATTATACATGTTTTTGTAATTAACTAAATAATGTCTTGACTAACTTACCCAGCATTTTACAAATTTCAGTCTGGTTTTTCCTTTCATCTTTCTTGTCAAGGAGTTGACCGACAGTGCCCTTGACAGCCTTAGGGATTTGGTCCACATATTGAGGCTTAATCAGGGCTTTCAAGTCATCTTCTAGAATTTTCGTGAAGTAGTTCTGCAGCTCAGAGCCACGGAAGTGAGAGAGAATCTCTTGCCAGTCTGGAGGGTCCTGATATAGAGATATGCGATTTAATAATAAAAAATGTCAAGACACTGCATTTTGCTTGTTATGTTATAACAGCTATTAAACAATCTGTAAAAAATATGGTGAAAGGCTATTTAGTATTCATACATAAAGACAGGAGCTAATAAGTTATTCTGTTCACATAATACAATTAATTTCAAACAGACTGCAAGAATTTTCAATTTTGTCATGATAGCATTTTTATTACTTGTGCATTCTATTCCATATTGTCTATTTATTGATCAGATTGAGGTAACTATGTTAATATAACACTTATGTTTTCTTATTGGAAGATTTATACATTCTGAACAGAAAGTCAACAGGTAAATAAGTGTATCTATGGCCAAAACTGCAGTAGAATCATAATCAGATTTGAATATAAATACAACCAATCATTGATGCCTAAAATTTTACTTTGACAACACAGTGGAAAATTTTTGATTATGTAAATCATAAACAACAATGACTAATTACAAAAAAAATTACATCTTACAGCAAAGCGACCCAAGTTGGGCTTCTGTTTTCCAGCAAGGATCTTCAGGGCAGTGGACTTGCCAATACCGTTCTGGCCAACTAATCCCAACACTTCACCAGGCCTAGGGATGGGCAGCCGATGGAGCTTGAATGAGTTCTTGGAGTATCTATGAGTAGTGTGCTTCTCCAAGTTTGATGGGATATTGATAATGGTGATTGCATCAAACGGGCATTTCTGAAAACAAGTTTTGTTATTAGAACCATATGTTAGCCTAGAATCATTAGCAAAACTTAATTTGAAAATTATTCAAGGCTCATTACATTAAATAATCAAACTTCTTGGTTTCTCTATTAGGAATGGTATGGATACCAGTAATAATTTGCTATATTATGCTGTCTTTATGACTACTTAGAAATTGATTTTTGATTGATGATTGTGTTTATAATTAATCAGCAAAATTCAAAACACATTCTTAGGTTGTGAAAAAGTTACCTTGACACAGATACCACATCCAATACAGAGCTCCTCGGAGATGGTGGCGATCTTATCGTTGGGCGTGACCTCTATACAGAGTTTGCCCATACGCACCACGGGACAACTCTTCTTGCATTCTTGCCTACATCTCTTCGGCTTGCAGCGATCCGCGTTCACGATAGCAATACGCGTAAGCTTGTCGGTCTCCTCTTGGTGTTTATTTCGAGACATAACTGTTTACCAAAAAATAACACTTCAGCACCAAAATATGTCATTAAATAATTAAAAATATACGAAAACAACCGTCCGATATGTGGCACAGACTTCGATATAACCTCAACTTAGAATGTATGACAAATAACTATTTATGAAACAAGCATTGCAAGTTCACTTCAGACAAACTTTTTTTATTGTAAAATGTTGATGATTAATATAACTAAATTTAAATACCTGATAAAAGAAAGCGAACGCTGGCGATATTTTGCCTACGTTCGCGTGTCCTTTTACATCGAACTCGAAATGTCAAAAGGAACAAACCAATGTGAATTTAGCATCACTTAGCCAAGTGGCATTACGTTCAAAAATATTATTCGTATGAATAGAAGTAGCTGTATTGTAAAATTAAACATATTTTGGTGATTTAAAAAGTGAAGGGTATTTTCAGCTATATTAATTATCGTGGACTTTTAAATTTATAAAATGTTACTTTATAATTATTTTCCATCAAAAAAATATATCAAGTGTATTACTGGTAACATCGATTATGTTGTAGTATATTTTGGCTTAAAAGACTTGTACCCAGGCCATAAACTCCAAAAAAAAAGTAGTTTATTATTTTGTGACGGTGCAAGTAAAGTTTGGAAAGTGGAAGTGTTGTGTTTGTACTGTTAAGTAAAATTTCTTAACTAAATCTAAAGAAACTGAATAGGCAGGAAAAGATTTTCCTGTCTTTTTGAAACTTTTATCATTATCTGCACACTTTTTAGGTTAACTTTCGTATCTAGTTTTGTTTATTATCTTCAAAACTATCATATTAATAAATAATCATTCGTTAAATGTATAAAATATGGAATACGCATGATTAAAAAACTTAAAAATATGTTTAAGTTAGTAAGTATGCTGAAGGTACACAAAATGGTACCTACATAGCGGGCACAACTCAAGGCTCCGTGCTATTCTATCGCAATAATAAGGTACCGCAGCCTTTCCCTAAAGTAGGAGAAGGAACGGGAGGTTTTTAGCCACTAAGAGTCTGACACTTCCAGAAGTCATTTGATGATTTTCCCCTCACAAAAAAGCGTTTCGGATTATAAAACTGGAGGTGATCCGCTACGTGCGAGTGGGTGGGATATCCACCATACTTATAGCAATGGCGATTTGAAGTCTGGTAAGGAAAGGACTAGAAGGAATTAAGGTGTGTAGATTTCCCGAAATTTTTTTCGTAACTGCGCCTGTTTTCGAGGCTTTGAAGTCGGGCCTCCACTACCACATTGTCGTTGATGAGCCTCTTGGCAAGCCTCTCAATGTGTTCAAATGTGGGTAGCTGGTTTTTTGCCTAGCCTTCCCTATAGATAAGAGCAGTACTCCATACAGGATCTAACTTGCGCTTGGTATAAGCAGTTATTCCGGCGTGAAGAACTGCCTCACCTTGGACAAGATGCTCAACTGCCTACTAGCTAGTTGTGCCTTTGACTCTACTATGTTAAGGGTGGGCGTCATAGTTACGCTCAAGTTGATTAGTCACCGGAACGGACAAATTCCGGAAAGTAAGAGCCAGCGCAAATTGACTCCGTTGAGCGGAGAACAGACACGCCTGGGTTTTGCTAGTTTAAATATCAAAAATAATCACAAATAAAAATTAAAAATCTATGATAAATAAAGTAAAAAAATACTTTTCTTAAACCTATCTATAAGTATATGGCGAAAAATAGTCAAATACTTACACAATTTCTTTGATTACCAATGCCATTTTTAGTTTCTATAAAATTAAACTCATTTGAATTATTAGTAACGGTTTTGATGGAATGCATGCGTATTTCGTAGGTGTAATCAATATTATGCTTTAGAACGCAGTTTTTATGTCATGAAAAAAAATATTTTATTTCGTGGTTCATATAATCTTTGTTATTCTCGGTCTTAGGAATTAAGACGTTACGTAAGCGCGCCAAAATGGCAGTCGTTTAAAAAGCTGTTTTTCCACCAAGTCACCTTCAAACACGTCCATAATATAGGTACCGGGGTACGCGGGTACCTGATGGTGTTCCATCGCCGTATTCTGGTTCATTTGTAGTCTAAAAGAAACATATATTATATGTAGTTTACAGGATGACACATTTTTATAAGTCAGTATTAGTCACCCTCAATAGTTCGACTGCACGGTTGGTGCGGTGGCTGGGCAACTGGCTGCCGTGAAACGTGTCGCGGGTTCAATTACCGCACGGAACAACTCTTTGTGTGATCCACAAATTGTTATTCCGGGTCTGGGTGTCATGTGTATGTGAAATTGTATGTTTGTAACCGCACCCACGATACCTACAGGAGAAAATCCTAATGTGAGGCAACGTTTAATTTAAAAAGAAAAAAAAAGAAAGAATAGTCCATATTGAAACAGTACACACACAGAACCTAAAACACTAATCTCAAAAACACAAAACACTGAGCACTAATTACGCCTTTAATGTTCATTGTTCGGTCTTCTCGACGTCCGTACGTCATTGCAGGGATCCAGCAGAATACCAGCGTCTGGTATATACCTGACGCATGCTGAGCTGGACTCCCATTCGGTGCAAACTAAAGACACACTGAACCGCGCCGTTTTGTATTTTATTTTTATTTTTTTGTCCTTATTTTTTGTAAGGCCTTATCTTCTACTCCAAAAAAGAGTGGCATTATGTTTTGTATTAATAAGACATTGTATTCCCTTTACAGATCATGCTAGAGGTTTGTATAGACAGTTTGGAGTCGGCGATAAACGCGATCCACGGCGGTGCCGATGAGTTAGAAGTATGTAGCTCACTCACTGAGGGCGGGCTTACCCCATCACCAGGCCTAGTCAAGGAAATAGTAAAAATGGTAAACCCCATAATATCCCTGTTGTTTGACAAATGACATATATATGACAAATGAATATTTTACATTTTATTATAGACTTGATGATATGACCACTGCTATAATATGTTTTTAGGTAAATAATACAACAGCCGGAAAACCAATCCGTAAATCATGTCACGATTGCGGTTGCGATAAATTAACGAAGGTACGGGCCACTTGATAAATGGAGTGCGTTCATACAAGAACCTATTTATTTACCACTCAAAGTCTGTTTGTTTTTACAGAGGGCAAAAGTGAATGTAATGATCAGATGCCGTACGGGTTCCGACTTCTGTTATTCGGAGCAGGAGATGGATACAATGTTATCAGATGTTGAAGTTTTTAAAGCTTATGGCGTGGATAGATTTGTTTTTGGTGCGCTTACAGACTCTCAGGATATAGACGAGAAGAACTGTGAAAGAATTATCAATCAAGCGGGTACTGTTCCCGTTACATTCCATAGAGCCTTTGACGTTTGCGCAGACCCACTTTCTGCAGTCAATAAAATATCTGCATTAGGTTTTAATAGACTGCTCACAAGCGGACAGAAGTCGACGGCTAATGACATCGAAGCTATTCAACTTATAAAGGCACTTAACAATACTGTTGGTGATAAAATAGAGATTATGCCGGGAGCTGGCGTGACTGTGGAAAATGCAAAGAATTTTACAGATATTGGTTGTAAGATAGTTCACAGTTCCTGCAAACGAATCAGATATTTGCCGCAGATTAAAAAAGGATTAAGTATGGGTACCAGTGATAGTGAGCATGTATTTGTCTCTGATGAAAATATTGTTCGGAAAATGAAAGAAGTTATGACTTAAGATTAAGTTCTTAAAATCAATAATTTTGTCGATGTATGTACACATGTACCTACTTATTGAAATTGTACCGAGAATAATTTGTAATGAAACAATGTAATAAAGAATTTATCGGATCAAATAATGGTTGTCATTATTTTATGTTGAACCCAGCTCATCCCAGTCCGGCTTTGTTCCCTTGGTTCCATTGTAGTAAGTAGTGGAGATTTATTATCTAGCGGGTTTAAGTATGTAGGTATCTATCTATTATGAGAACTTTTCAAGCATTATATATACCATTAGTTAAGATATTGACACTATTGGTTAGATTTGGTTTTATGATCGTTGAGTGGCTAGAAATTTAAGAGGCTTTATTACAAAAACTAGCTCAGTATCAATCTGCTAAAGGTTTGCCTAGCACTCTTTTGAGAGTACAAAGATTCGACTGAAAACAATTTTCCGTCTCGAAAAAGAGCCCTTTTTCCGTTCCAATTATAATAACATAAAAACGTTCTCCGACATAGGCATTTCCCACATATGTCTCGTTGTCTCACAAAAACCTGCAAGCGTTGTTTCCTTACAAACATCGATTATATTGCGCTCCATTTATCATGGCAGTATATTGCAGAGGAAAAATGGTGGCCCGCTCGCCTTTAATGATGCTATTACTGAGTCGAGGAAACAATATCAGGAGCGATGAGCGAGCTGACGATCCTATAATTGCGATGGCCTCACTTTATTGCGTTAACTTTTTTTAACAGTTTGCTAATGACTCGCAAATGCAGCGTCGTCGTACTTGAAAATAGCCAAGTTGTTGACAGATCGAATATAAAAGCGCGGGAAAGTAATGGCGGGTTTTGCTTTAGAATCTTTTTTATCGTCAGTTAAATGATTAAAGGGCTTAAAATTAAAGCCTCATTAGACGTTTTGCAAAAGCTAAACATCTCGATCAAGTGCCTATTTAATGGTCTTTTAGAAAATTTCTGTTATATTATTATAGTGTTGATATGATAAATTTGTGTATTTACCTATAACTAAAAACCTGAAAGGTATATCACTACCTACATAGTATTATAAAACTAAGTCCGAGTAGTGACAAAGTCTTTGTCCCTGTTTAGGATTGAATTTTAAAACTCTAGATGTGACAGATTTTGATGTTGTTTTTCTAACAGATAGGATGTTTCGAGGGGATCCTTTAGCAGCAAAATTAGCGGTAAGCAGGGACAGTCGCGTGCAGGAAGTTTATTATAAGTATACCTACATATACCTACCATACATTCTGTAAACATCTTTCGATTAGGTAAAGCCTCACGTGGATATACTACTTATTATAGGTATTTGAAGGTGATTGAACATGAAATCACTAAACTTTTTTGGTTATATTAATTTAGATTTTTTTGAAAGGCCAGTTAGGTACGCAATGACGTAAAATTTTTAATATGAAATTAACTTTTGAGAAATTGTTAAAATTTTCTTTTTTAGATTTTAAGGCTTTTGAATCCATAATTAATTAGGACGACTGTGCTTCATACCATTTCATTTGTATCAGATTCGCTCCGTTCTCTCATTCAAAAAGAAATTCCTCACAAAATAACCGAATGAAGCGAAACACGGATTTCATTTCGGGTAAAACTTTCATATCTTCATTTAATTTAGGTGAACTATTTTAGCTTGGCGTCGCAAGATTTTCATTTAAAAAAAGATGGAACTTATTACCCCAATTTTTTTTTAAAAAGGTTTCTTGTCCTTTGGACATGGTCTTTTTGCAAATACGGAAAAAAGAAGAGGTAGTTACGGAATTTGTCAAAGCATCGGATGATTAATGATAATTTGCGAAAACGTCCAAAAAGAATTCGCGATGCGGACCCCTTGGCGGTGTGGCGCAGCCGGGACGCGCGGTCGTGGCTACAATCTTTTCAACCCGCCATCAATCATAACGAGCTTTTAAAAGACCTTCTGTTACTGAGACTACAACATGTTTTCTCATGTTTTATAAATAAGCGAATTAATTGCTTCCGGGGTCACGAACTCGGTTTGTCAAAATTATAACAGTTTAGTAGAAAGTTCATATATAGGTATTTATGTGAAGACGCTTGTGATGATTATGTCTGTCGCTACCAACTGAATTGGCCGTTTAACCAACGGCCTGAATGACTAGCTTCAGGCTTCAGCTAGGGTCCGTTCTGATCTCCGGGGCGGCGTCAGCGTAGCGTCAGCTGACGGTAAGTTAGTGCTAGGGATCTGGAGGCGAAGGTGGTCTTCATTTCGTGGAGGTGCTTGGGCTGAGCTCAGGGAAGTGATCGAAGGAGGTAAGCTCTCGCATCCGGTCTTAGTCCAGGCTATGGTTTATCGCCTCATTAAGGACGAGAAAAGTAATTTAATGATATTTTTATTCTGTTGAAAAGTTGAAATATTTTTTTTATGTTTGAGAAAAGTTAGCAACTAAATTGACTGTAGGTATTAGAGGGACGTCGATAGTCGACAAATAAATAGAACGAGCACATAAACAAACGAAAGGGTTTATTTCAGTGAATCAAAGTGTAGATATCTAGTATATTTAAATTTATCTTATACAATATAGACTTATAATTAAATACATCTAGGGTATAAAATAAGGCTATGTCGTGAGATGTGAATATGCTTACTTTAAGGCAGTTTTTGCATACCGTGCATCATTAGTAACTACTATTTACAACGACTTATATCAAGATCTAAATATAAGAGATAAGAATTGGTCGAATTGCTGGTTTATACGTTACATAAAGCATCCGTTTTATCTTCAAGCGAATCTAGTAAGTACAAAGTAAATCGGGTTTAAGGCATTTACAAAGAGACTTGTGTAACTAATAAATTTTCTTTCAGAAGTTATTTTTACGAAGATTTCTAGTAAAGTTGTTCCATTTAACAAGCCTTTACTTAGGTACTAATAGGGCTTATCTGAACCTAATTTAGCTAAAAGTCTTCGCAAAATTACCCAATAAAACATAAGTACGAAGTTGTAACCTAATTAGGTAGATAATTGCTTGCACACAGCGATTGGCTATTTGAACGTTTTGAGAGTTATTTTAAAACATATTAAATGTCTTGTTATACCTCTACGACTGTTTTGGATAAAATGCATTTAAAAAAATGATAAAAGTAATTAGTTTACCCCAATGATGTATAAAACTATAGATACGTTGTCCGCGCTCTAAAATGACAACATGAAATGAAGGCAATTGACCACATCGCGCTTAGTTACGCACCAACCTGCCGCGCGACGCTACGTTTGTTTTTAATTTATATCGTGTGTAAACCTGTTTGAAACATAAAGAAAGCATGTCGTCGTGTGTGTTCAGACGATGTACAAATTATACTCCAAAAGTTAAAGACAAAAATGTGTCATTTCATGCGTAAGTTCACCAAACAACCTATTTTTATTTTATTTTTTTCGACGCCGGCGCCCGCCATCTTATGGCGGCCGGCGCATGAAGGTATAGTCACGTGACGTCGGCATAACTGAAGATGTATATTTATCTCCCTCTAGCAAAGGCATTCCATTATACGATGTCATATTTTCTTTCCCTTTCTTTATTCGTAGAAGTAGTTATCTAGTATTTTCGCCGTTTTTAAGCGCCGCGATGTTGGTTCATGACGTGTCTATATATAATACGTCATTGGTTTACCCAATTATTGTTTTTCGCTAAAATGCATAACGTCGGCGAAAAGACGTCAAAAAGCTATTTTTCCCTACAAAGTCATACCTCAGTAACCATGGCAACCGTGTCACAAATTCTAAGTTTGATTTTGTTGATACGCGTAGGTATCGTGAATAACGAAATGTGACTTTTTAAGCCGTGCTCAATTCCAAATCATTGTCTAAAATAATGTAAATTATTGGTTTTGATTCAAAAAAATTGCTGTAATTTCTTATACTTATTGTATTGTATTTTAAATCCATTCGTCAAATAGCCAATTTCTGTCAGGATAAAATTTATTTATAGTTGCAGGGTATTGTATTTTGTTTATCGTAAAGTCTAGAAATCTATCAATACGGTAGTTTCCAATTAATCAAATTCAATACTTTTACTGAAATGTCAAAACGAAAATTTAAAAAAAAATAATAGATATCAAAAATATAAAATTATATATTCATAAATTATGTAGGTACTTTAAAGTGAAAATTATTTATTTTTGACCTTGGAAACTACCTAATCATATATTAATATAACACTACAGGTACAAGGTTCAGTTGACCGGAATAGGTTTTATACATATTTATATTCTTTTAAAAAAAGCATAGTGCATCAATCCTTAGGCTTTCGATAGATAGAACTACTTTCACAATGGCAGGTCTTCTCAATCTACGCACGATGCCGAGGACATATCAGATCATTTTTTAAGATCTAGAATGCAGTCGAGCGTTCCACAATATATCAAAACTGGAACACGTGTAGAATTGACTTTTTAGGGCAAATATTTTTAGTGAAAATTACGACTAGTCGTAGTTACAGTACGGCCGACGTATCTTGGCGAGTCTGAAGTTAGCCGTTTGTCTGCGCAAAGGATGTTTTAGGAACAAAATTGTGTACTGCACAGCTATTCGGCTAACTTCAGACTCGCCAAGATACGTTGGCGATATTGTAACTGAGAAAAGCTCAACTAGTTTCAAGTCACGACGGGACTCTTATTCATGAGCAGCGTGTGCGTTACGGCGACGTCGCGTAGCCTTTTCTAGTAGAGTTTTCCTCGGATAATTCACGTGATTAAGTCGTTATTTCCAATAAATTAATATGTCTCACGATAGTTACTCTTCAAAAACATTTTTAGTCTTTACACGATGACTGAATGTCTGTTAGTCTTCTTGTCTGGTGCATAGGGTTCTAACTTCGCAGGCTCCGTGTTGAGGGCGCTGTAGTCTACGGGGAATGGGGGCGGAGGTAGAGAGTCCTTTGGAGGAACTAGGACCCACTGGCCTGGCCCGTTGGGGTTCTTGCCCATCAGCCAGTTGGTAAAGCAGTGGACGTACGTCCCGTAGTCCAGTATTAAGTAACCATTCTGTTGGAACGAAATAAACAAATGACTTAAGTGTGGAAGAGCCATGCTTCGGCACGAATGGAACGGCTCCACCGGAATGCATCTTGGAACACCGACGTGAAACAACCACAGCGTTGTTTCGCCGTGTGCGTGATGTTACCAGAAGCACAATCCTTCCCCTGCCCCAATGAATCCATAATTCCAAAATTTCCAAATCCCTAATACCCAAAAAGTTTCGTTGTTGTGCGTATCCATGGGCGGCGCTGATTGCTTACCATCAGGTATTACGATTGCTCGTTTGCCGACTTACTACATAAAAAACCTTCCCAAGTATTCATTAGTAACTTGTTGCAAAAACAATTTGTGTAGTAGCTAGTAATATTTAAAGTCGCAAAAGTATCCCAAGTTATTAGGCAGCAAGGTAACTCGAATAATGTTGCTAAAGTATTCATAAAAGTGCTTCCAAATTCACAAATTACTCAGTAAATGACCTGCAGTACTGGGTCACACGTAATTTAGTAAAAACTTTTGCTCGGCAGACATGCCCGTTTTAAATTCTATTACAGAACTACAATTTCAAAATTCAAATTGAAAAGTTTTCGAATTTAGAACAAAATAATTCAACCATTCCAACTCTATGATAATAGAAAACTAGCTCTATGGAATTATGGTGAAGTTTTGAATATTTTGTAACAAACTTTATGCGCAGCGAAATTCTCGTCCATATATTCATGCTATGCTTGCTTACGCGAGGGCTGTAACAATAAAGAATGTAGATAACTTACGCTAGTCATGCGATCGTACGCTGTGTCTATAATCTCGTCAATTCGCGCCGCATTCAGGCCTATCACCGACCGGTAAAAAGCGGCTAGAGCTGGTTTCGTTATAGCACCTGTGCCTGAAAATAAAACACATACTTTAATAGCTGTATAGTCCTAAATTCCCTGAAGAGGTGGAAAGATTTATTGGAACACCCGCGTTCGACATATCCGCGATTGGATACCGTGGGATGCCGCCGCGAGCCTATTGATATTTAAGCGGGCACTGATCCAAATGTTGAGGTATGTTTCATTTGAAAATGGAACTCGTTGATTTTGGAATTTTATCAAGAGTTTGTTTCACACAAAGCTTGGTTTCACACTTTATATCCAATAGGAAAAAAATGATGTTTTTTACCGACATTCTTATACATATCGTGTTATAAATTGTTATGTTTCGAATCCATCATCGTGACATACAGTTTATGCTTAGCTTTTCCCATTTATTGGTAAAATACGGCGATGTTACTAAACCAAATGAGATCGTTCACCTTGGTAGCATTTTTATGATGAATCGTTTTGGCGTTCTAAATCAACAAGACAGAATTTAGCAATTCAGGGAAAAACTCCGCAACGGGCCCATTTTGTATATGGTCTTACATATTCATGTTATAAGATTAATAATGTCAGTAAATATACAGTTTATTAGGTAAAACGAGGGACATACTCAAGTTTTTTTTATGTAATAGGTCGGTAAACGAGCAGACGGATTACCTGATGGTAAGCAATCAGCACCGCCAATGGACACCCGCAGCGAAGGAGTTATGAGATTGTTATGAGATTAGATTAAAGGATTGGGGAGGGATCGGGGGAGGGGAAAGATTGGGCGTCCGGTAACCTCACTCATACGGCGAAACTGTGGTTAATGTCTAATGCAAATTTTTTTTATAATTGAGCACCAAAATCTGCTTCTTCAATATGCCCGTCATTTGACATAACACATTGTATGTTGAATTAGGCTCTAGTGTTATAATGAGTGTAGATGGAGATACAGTCTTTGGCAGCATGACCGTAATGCTATAATAGATGATGCCGGCCAAGCGCAAGAAGGTACCCTGACCTCGGAATGGAGTAGGCGAAGTAACGGGGTGGCTTTAAGTCAGTAAGAGTCTGACAATCCCTCCCTCCCTGCTAAGGCAGAAAAAAGTCCTTTAATGTATTTTTTTTAAAGAAAACGCTATTTTGGGTCTTTTAATTGTGTCATCAAATGTAGTTATAAGGGATCTTCTGGTGTATTATTAATAATAATATCGACTGATTTATTTCGTAGAGAAATCTAAGACAATTATTCATGTCACTGGGATGCTTGGGACTTTATTTATTCTTGGTTATATCTACTTTAGACACTGGCTTCAAGGAATGTTGCGGTTTTGGGACGTTGTGGATTTCAGCTTTAGATTGCAGCATAAGGTTTTTAAGTGAATTAAAATAGATATCTATTTGGTATCTTTGCTGTCTCTGTATTTAAAGCACATTGTATAATTGATAAAATAAAGAAGGAAAATAAGTAGGTCACAACATTGTTAAGTAAAATATAGGTCAGGTACTTAATATAAAACAGAATATTATTCCAATAATTCTTTCATACAACAGTGAGCTAGTACGTCGTATTTATATTCAATAAAAAGATTAAAATAAAGCCAGAGACAGGCAGACGGCAGAAATAAATGTGGCGAAGAAAAGACTTCTCGCTCCAGTGTGTACCTACACGCTGTGATTTTGGCTCCCATGTCAAAAACGGAACCAAATTTTTAAGTCAAAAGAATGACCTAATTCCATCTCTGTTAGTTTTTGGATAATTTTGATCAAAACGATACCATATCACTACATAGTATGAAACAGAATCTCTTTTTCTGTCTCTATAGATACCTCTATGACGCGTGTGTTTAAATCTTTAAAACTACGAAACAAATTTTGATGCTGTTTCTTTTTAATAGATGTATTGATTGAAGAGGAAGGTTTATATGTATATTAGCATCCATTGAATAGTGAAGAAATTAAGTATCAGCTTTGCCCCCGTGCGAAGTCGAGGTAGACTGCTAGTTTAAATAATAAAAGATTTACAGTAAGCTGCTTCTAATCCACTTACTTAGATCAACCTTTTATTTCAATTTTATTTCAAAATTTAGATCATCATTTTATTTATATTTTGCATCCTGTCTGAACAAATTCGAGATCCTAAAAAAATATCATCAAAAATATTTCGAGAGAGAATTTTAACAGTAATTCAGTCTCAGTATCATTTCACAAACATTAAAATGTTTATAGAAATTAGCTGGAGCTAAATTGCTTTAATAATTAACTTTAAATTAGTCATAAATTGGAGTTGGAAGCTCATGCTGCAGGGAATTTCATGTAGAACAAATGAACGTGATTCAGGGGCGTAGAGGGTGACATCAGCCGCGGGAACATTCCCGCGTCAAATTAATCCCGTCTATCAACCGATCCCGGGAATTGACTCACGTCACTGGTACCTCTCTATTACCGTAAACAGAGCGAAGCTTGCTCACAGAATTGAGCTGAAAATAAGTTTTATTTAGGGTAAAAATAACTAAGGAGTTTAAGGTTGTTTTGGTGACATGTTGTTAGGTAGATACCTTTAGGACGAAGTCGTACTAACTTGTGTCTCGAAAGTTAGACAGAATATGAATAAAGGTAGTTGTTTATGCTTCTGTGACTTTTTTGAAATATGTCGTGGCAGTTTCTAGAAGCGCTTAAGTATTATGCTTTGTTAAACTTTTTGGATTGTTTTAAAAGTCTATATGAAAGATTGCTAAGACGATTCTAGGTTTATCTTAGCTAGATGTAGAAGATTGCACATATAAATAATGATTTTAAAGTAGACTTATAAGTGACTAGCTTCAGCCCGTTCGCCCGCGCGGTGACAAAAAGCAGCATATGTGTATCCAGGGTATTACCTATCTACATACCAAATATTCAACCAAATCGGTTCATCCGTTTTTGTGTAAAAGGTATAACTGACAAACATTCATCTATGGTATATATTCTGGTAATGGTAGATATTCCAGAATATGGTAGATATTCTGGTATGGTAACTTCTCACTAATATACTATTCATTGCTTTGCTCAACAATGAATGAGGAGATAAGTACATTGGTACACACACACAAGTACAGACCTCATTTATAAACGAAAATAAATAAGAATTAACTTACTTGTCCTATCAATGACATGGAAAAGTATCTTGCAGAGGTACTGCAGATACAGAGGTAAGTCTGTAAACCGTTTCATTTCACTGAGGTGTAGCGCCCAGCGTGCCAGCCAGCCGTCCAGAGTGGTTCTGCCTGGCATGTTGATCCCGCTCGCTTCGGGGCCACACACTCTTCTATAATACGGCAGATCACCCCATCTGGCGAAAAATCGGAATTTAAATATTACGAAAGAAAAAGCAAAAAACGTAAAAGTTTTATTTGGAAATGTTTACGGAATAAAGCACCTGGATGTTTGTGTTACATTAGCGCATATTTTTTGCAAGTAATATTCATCTATCTATAAAACATAAAAGTTTGGCGGGAGCGTAAGGTGGGGAATTTAATAACGAAAGAAACTTAAGGACGTGACTTAGAGCGCGGATGCCGCGGCCGCTCTATGGTGATATTTCCTTTTTCTCGACTCGGTCTGTGGTTCGTTTCTCTTTCTTTGTGCAAACTTTATACTCAGGACATAACTAAATAAAACACGATATTATATTATTACAAGACTAGAATTAATAATGCAAGCTGCTACGTGTTATTTAACTAATTAAGATTTATAAAGTAAGAACATATAGACAGAACTGAGTTTATACATGAAAAAGCCTTAGCATACAGAATAATTTTGTCCCAGTAATTCGAAGCTGGCGGAACGCTATTATATCATAAAATGGGCGATTTTTTCATGAAAATGTCGGCTACGAAAATATACAGCCTACAGGATTGCATATTACATTACAAAGTGCTCATATTTTTTGAGCACTTTCATGAAATGTCAGCGACCGGCTGATATTCATTTTTATGGGATACTATTGCTTGAATGAGATCAGCAGGTGTCTCTCACGTATATATGTATCATAGTTGTAAGCAGCACTAATGCCTTTGTGAAATTAGGGCGAATATTACAAGGAAATGTTTTCATAAATTAAAGTAAAAAACCGATTTGTTGGAAACTTATAGATACAGATAACAATGTCGGCTAAAAGACTTAAAATAAATAGGCATTAAAAAAGTAACAAGAACATATGTATGTGACAAACAAATGGACTTACTTGGCTGGCAACGGATTGATGAAGTGGTCTATAAATTCACGCTTGACTTCAAGCAGTATGTGGAACTCGGATGAGTTAGGCGACCAGTCCGCAAAATGCGCCAACCGCTGTGAATAACGACGAGAAACGAATTTAATTATTCTCTTTCATTATTCAGACGTTAGTTATGTGAGGTTGAAATGACTTAATGTTCAGTTTTAGGAGCCTAATTTGTTATATTTGCCTGCCAGTCCATTTAAAGGTGGAACTCAACATTTTCCCGCCTTCTCCGCCATTTTGAATACAGGAGAAACTCGAGGGCTTTTAAGATATAACTTCGTTATTTAATTCCGTCGAAGTTTTAACTGAGTTATTCGAACTGTGCCAAGTTAATTATATTTAAAGTAAGACTTGTTTATATTTGGGACGTTTCTGACTACGATTGAGTCAATTAAGAAGTGGGTTTCAATGAATTCTTGATGGTGTCTCCGTCAATTGTTTTTAAAGTTAGTATCCATTTAAGTTTACTTTTCCTTCAAAAACTACCTACAAATTCTTTCGGTACATAATAATACAATAAAGACATATCTTTGGCAAATCATAATCGTCTTTTTATACTTGACAACAGGGTTGAACTATCCCTATTTTTAGTTTTAACTTAGTACCGAAATAGGTAGGAGTATTAATTTAATACTTTTAAGATCTATGTTATTAAAGAATTCACGCCATAGTAAACAAACTACGCAAATTTATTGCGTAGTTTCTGATGACTATTTTGATTATTATCGTTTAAAACTTCGCTTCTCACTAGAATTTTCTCCTGCGTCGTAGATGCGTTTATAAACATACAATTACAACATATATTTTCATACATGCACATGACTCCCGGAAGTCCCGGACAGCCCAGGTTGCCCAGTTATTACGCCAACTGTCTATTCTAGTGTATTCTAACGTTCATGATACCAAAATCTTGATACCTTCCTACCTCGAAGAATTGATCGAAGTCTGTGTCGATGATGACGTCATCTCGGTCGTGGTCCAGAAGCTCGGTGAAGAAGAGAGTCATCTTGTCTGTTTGCATAGAACTGAGTTGGGCAAGGGGCTGCTCGTCTTCTAAGTCCAGGCATTCTAAGTCTTCGCTGCACCGGTTTACCCAGGTTGCTGTGATAGAAGAAAGTTGTTAATGAGACGTGTGAAGGGTTATATACAATGTACATTTCATGTAGAATGTAGATACATCATATTGGTATTATAAACGTGAATATTTGCAAGTCTCGATGCTTGTTACTCTCTCTCATAAAAAGTACTGGACGGATTTAAATCTTATTATTTATACATAATTTTGAACTAGCTTCCACCCGCGGCTTCGCCTACGAGGTATGTTGATAAAAAGTAGCCTATGTCCTATTCCGGAGTGTATTCTATCATCATCATCAGCCTATAAGTGCCCACTGCTGAGCAAAGGCCTCTTCTCATACGGAGAAGGTTAGAGCATTAATCACCACGCTTGCTCAATGCGGGTTGGCGTTTTCAAACTTATAATTAGAAATTATAAGTACAGGTTTCCTCACGGTGTTTACTTTCACCCTTCACCGTGTATCCTATGCCTTTGCCATTTTTATCCAGAACCAGATATTGACCAGCCGTTTTAGCGTGATTGAGTAACAAAGATCCAAACATCGTAACTTTCGCATTTATAATATCAGTAAGTAAGTAAGTAAGTAGTAAGTAAGATGAAATTTAGCAGAGAGATAGATTATAGTCTAAAGTGATGAAACAGATTGCCTATAGCCTACTTTTACTGGCAGATATTATTTTAAAACCCACACATACACACTGACATTGTTTGCTTTTTATGTCCTAGGTAGTATTTTTGAAATGGCTCTTTTAAAGGCTTTTTAAAGGTGTGTGGGTGTATGCATAATAATGTTCCGCAGCCCGGCCTGGAGCAGGAGAAGGAACAGGGTGGTTTTTAGTCAGTAAATGTCTGATACTCTCACCCGAGCGGCGGCGAAAGATGTCATTTGATGCTTTTTCCACATGAAAAGAAAAAAAAGGCGAGAGAAGCTATTTGATGTGCCTCCCTCAAAAAGCATGTTTGGCTAAAATTTATAAATAAGTATTAAAAGTTCCATGGAAGGAAGATTATGGTATAACTTTGTATAAATGAATTTGTGATTATAACAAAGTTTCAGAATCAGGGGTACTTCAAGAGATGATCTCCGGCCACCGTAAGTACAGGTCTGCGGACGGCGAGTAAGGGTAGCTCGCCGCCTGGCCAGAAACAGACCCGAGTGTACTGTGCGTAGCGTTCCGCGCGAGTCTCAAAAAGCCAATACACCACCACAGACGGGGCCCTATAGGGCTGATGTTCAACTGGGGTTGCGGGGTAAGCGCAATGAGGCACCGTGACCTCGGCCCAGAGCAGGAGAAGGAACGGGGGGGGGTTTTTAGTCAGTAAGAGTCTGACACTCCCTCCCGCCCGACCCTGGGCGGGAGACGTCGTTCGATGATTTTCCTGATGATTTCGATGATGATGAAAATTTGAAAACCTTTCCCAACCAGATCCATTCACCTTACCTTCGTTACCAGATAAATATATTGGAAAGTTATATTAGATATACATTCAAATAAGTCTGCAGAACCATAAAAAGGGTTGGGCTACCGGTCAGTAGTCATTTTTTTCTTTATTGTTTATCGTAAACCGTTTCGTTCACGGACCTCCAGAAAAAAATATAAATACTTACAACGTTTTAGCAAAGCATATGCATACAGTGTCCTGTTATGAAAATACCGGTCAAGTACTAGTTGGACTCGCGATTGCGCCCGAATGATTTTGTACCATTTTATTAATTCGAGCAATTAACGGAAAACCAATACCATAGACTCTTTTTTACAAAACTGGAACTCGCTATGAATACTCGTTGAGTTAAAATTGAGGAACAGTTTTTACCTGGAACCAGACTAACGCCCGGTTTCCGAAAGGCCGATCAATGTTAAAATCAAGTTAATCTCTTGTCAAGTCATCTGATTGTTTGACTGAATTATCAACAACCAATCAGATGACTTGACAAGATATTTAACAGGAGATTAGTTAATTTTAGCGTTGACAAGCCTTTCAGAAACCGGGTGTTAGTGTCAATCTGTCTATTTCTTTTTTATTAATAATAGGCTAGCGTTTGGCCCATATCTCACCTGGTGCCTGGTGGTAAGCGATGATGCGACCTACTGAACACGCCTAACCATAAGCAACCTATCCACGGATGATTCCGTACCATTCGTTGATTTATTAATTCGAGCAAAAAACGGCATTTTTGTATGGGAGCTTAAGTTATTTTAAGTGCTGTTGTAGCTCTGTTGACGTGTGACTGTGGCTGGGCAACTGGCTGCCAGTAAACTGCTGTGTGACGTCATCTATTCGATTACCGCACGGAACAACTCTTTGTGTGATCCACAAAATTGTTGTTCCGGGTCTGGGTATAATGTGTAGATATGTTAAAGCTAGCTTTAACGGTTCTTGATATCTAGCCTGGTGCTAGACAGACAGACAGACGTTCGGGCAAAAAACGGAGTCTCAGTATCAGGTCCCTGTTTTTAAAACACGTATCCCTAAAAATCGTAAAAGGCAACCGACCCGTTTTGCAATGTCTTTTCAATTTCGTCGGTTATAAAATGTTGTGTTACTGTCACTGTAAACCATATGATTCGCTGGAGGTTTTATGCAAACCGATTACAATGTTACCTACTTTTGTTTTACTATGAGTAGTATCTATTAAAATAACATTAAGCATACTTTTCAAAATTCTTAGTAAACCCTCTTGTTAACAACTTCAGAGACTAGAGTATCTATTTTATATGAAACTTCAGAATGACTAGTAATGTTTGGTACATTGACCAAAGAAGGTTGGATTTGAGGATTGGGAAAGAGGTGGAAAATGAATGGGTGGCGAGTAACTTCATTCAAATGAAGAAAAACAACGCAAGCTTTCGTTTAACATGGTTTTCTGTGAGACTGTTATCTGATCACTCCGGTCGCGCCAGCCCGTTTGTGCCACGGTATTGAGAAAATATTTTTAATCGATTTAAAATAAATCACTATCTTCACATCTTGTACGTCTAGCTCGACTATACACCTAAAAACAAAAACAAATTCGAGCAATAATGTTGTAGTATCGATTGCTCGATTGAAACAGAGCGATATTGCGAAAAGACCGACGTGGCACATCCCTAGAGATAGCGCTAACACCACAAATAAAACAAACTTGGACCGTGCATGAATTTAGTGTGGAGGCAAATAGTCGGTTAGTCGAGTCGTGTTTGAATATATTCGACTCTATTTCTATTCTGGATCATGTTATTGTCACTGTATTAAATATAGTCTCTGCTTTTTTACTGTGTTCTAGTATAACTTATCATTGAAGCTTTTTTTGAATACGTAATAATTACGTTTTTGTGCTTTAACGATGACAGCTTGGGCCTCTGTCACAAAGTCAGACTCCACACTCGTATATCAGATTTTAAATTTAGAACCTAATTTGTATGAACTATGCGCCACATAAGTTTTTGGGGACCAAAAATGAAGGTGCTGAAACAGGAGCTTAGTCTGTTGTTCAATTTATCGAAGGCCTAATCCTTCCCCTCTCCCTATCCCACTCCATATCCCAAAACTCCAAAACTCTTATCCCCAACGGACTGGCAAACGCATTCGTAACTCTTCTGGTGTTTCTGGTGTCCACGAGTGACGCCGATTGCTTACTGTCACATAAAAATACGTAATGCAATATTATGTTTAAAAATAAAGATAAAAGTGACCAGCTACTTAAAGCCTTACGATCCATTCCGAACCACTGTAATACGCCCCAGTGGTTAACAAAACTCCCTTCTGCCGAGACGGACTTATAAAAATATGAGAGTAAACCATTATTACGCTACCATTACCGCCTAAGTTACATTTAAAATAAAACGTAAAAGAGAAAGAAAGGAAATGGAAACATGTATTTTTCGTTCGTACGATGTAATCGTACAACTTCGATATTTCCGGCGAGTCGGCAGCTCGACTCCTCAATGTTTCAATTTATTGAAAATATTTTCAGAATCTGTGAACTGTTTCGTTTAGAGTACAGGGAATGTTTTATTTTTGTTCCTCGCATTCTGTATCAGCTTGTCAATTAAATACACTGAATATTTGAGGAGATAGTTTAAGTTGTAGATTGTATATATGTAGATATATGAATAAGTCTTAGTTATAGATATTGTGTACATATAAGTAGGTGTGACTTCTTGCCTCAGTAGTTCGAATCCTGGCAAGTATCAAAGTGACGTTTTTCAAGTACTCAGTATATCCTTTCTAAGATTGTTTACAACACTGAAAGAAAAGATGGTTTGGAAACTTTAAGTGTATGTATTTAGGTGCTAATTCGTGACCAGGATTTAAAGGAGGAAGATGGAAGATCATCATCATCAGCTTATAAGTGCCCACTGCTGAGCAAAGGCCTCTTCTCATACAGATAAGGTTAGAAGCATTAATCACGAAGCTTGCTCAATGCGGGTTGGCGATTTCAAACTTATAATTAGAAATTAGAAGTCCAGGTTTCCTCACAATGTTTACCTTCGCAGTTTGTCAGTGGTGCCTAAATAATCATAGAAACTACATATAACTCGGAAAAAGTCACATTGGTACTTGCCAGGTTTCGAAATGGAGGATGTTATTATGAAATCAGTAAAACAATTTTTATAATTCTTCTAGTATGGGCTTGTATTCCTCCAAAAGGGAAAAAATTAAACAAGTAGGAAATAAGTACTTATCCTCTATAAAAAGTTGGCAATAAAAAACATTGTGTGGTTTTTTTTTTATGTAATTGGTCGGCAAACGAGCAGACGGATTACCAGATGGTAAGCAATCAGCGCCGCCCATGGACACCCGCAACGGAGGATTTACGAGTGCGTTGCTGACCTTTTAGGGATTAGGGATTTGGAGATTAAGGGATTGAGGAGGGATTGGGGGCGGGGAAGGATTGGGACTCCGGTAACCTCACTCACACGGCGAAACACAACGCTGTGGTTATTTCACGACGGTTTTCTGTGAGGCCGTGGTATCACTCCGGTCGAGCCAACCCAATCGTGTCGAAGCATGGCTCTCCCACACTTGTAGTTGTGTGTGGTTGTATGAACAAAAAGCAAAAAGTATTGAATTTGAATAGCTGTTATCCTATTTTCTGGTAAAGCTTTAGAACTCTCCAATCAATAGATTATCCGGAAAACCAAAACAATAGACTTTTTTTTACAAAACTGTGGGACTGATATAGAAAACTCGTTGAAAATTCAGGTGCAGTTTTTACGGGGAAACCAGACTAATTAGTGGCGCTGTGATTGATGCTTGAATTCATGTAACATTTTTTTTTTTTATTTGTAATGGGCCAGCGTTTGGCCTTTACCTCGCCTGGTGGTTAGCAATGTCGCAACATTAGGATTGAGCACGCCTACACATAAGCACTTAAATTTAACTTAATTAGTCGGGTGTTGAAGACCCCCTTTATTTGTTTCATTGCAGGAATTTCAAACCTATTATGTTGCAACTGTGTTGAAAATCTGTCAATCGATTCAGACAGGAATAGGTTGATGGAATGATTGGCCTTTAGTTAATGCAGGATTAAAAAAATATTAAAAATGGCGTGGGTAGAAAAGTAATAAATAAAGTTAAATATTTTTTTAAGATATTTTGTCTGTTTTATTGTTAGCTTTACTCTCGGTTTAGAACATCATCATCATCATCATCGCCATCATCTGCCTTTTACTTGTCTACTGCAAAGCAAAGGCCTCTTGTGCCACGGAGAAGGTTTGAGCATTATTCATCACCCTAGCTCATGGTCGATTTGCGATTTCAAGTTTGAATTATAATTGTTTGTAAAAGACCAGGTTTCCTCATGATGTTTTCCTTCACCGTTTGTCAGCGTTGTGTAAATAAACATAGAAAGTAAATATAGCTCGAAAATTTTGGTATTTTTTGGGCTTTAAACCATTATTTCTTAATGTCTTGTTATAGTAAGGAGAGTCTCACATGCTACTTTTCAGTGGTGGGAGACTAATGACTAATTACTAACACGCTATTCAAATCAACAATCTCACAATTTTACTTAACCTAATTCCGCTTAAATAAACATAAAAGTTCAACACACACTATAAACTAATAACAAAGTAACTCATTGCGAAAAACTTTTCAGCCAATTTCGGAGCCATACCGAACAAAACTCGGCAAATTTTGATTAAACAATAAAACATTACACGTATATTGATTGATTTATTTTCAACTTCCTGCTTTCATAATGACAGTGTGGCCACTAAAACGGATTCTGTCAATCGTAGGAACTTACACTTTATTCCTAAGTGTGACTGTCTTCGCAAGAAGAATTCCCTGAAAAGACTCGTTATGTTGTTGTAACTGCTCTGGTGTTGCGGGTGTCAATTGCTTACCATCAGCTAAGCTAAGTCTTTTCGTTTATAGTCTTATCCCATAAAATACTTAGGCATATAGAATATAAATACATATATTAAATAAATAAATAAACAGAAATATTTACTTTCAATTTTTTTTCATAATGTTATAACGATAAGTTTCTCTGATTTTTTCACAAGATTACACAATTGTGACGTCGCACAGTTTTGTTCCTAATGTGTCTTAATTTTTCTTATGAAAGACTTAGTTAAGAAAAATAAAAATCCAAGTGTTGTATAAAATCAATTGACAATATTATAGAAAATGGCAGGGTACACAATTTAAAAATCGAATATAATATCAATTAGGTACATAAAATAAAAAAATAGACCCGTATTTTTTATTTTGTCGCATATTTTTATTATTTTTTTCTAATAAGGTTATAATTATACCGTCCAAAGTATAGACGATTGAAAAAGAAAAAAAATTGTGTGAGGTTTTAAATTTTTCGATCAAGTTCTAAAATTGAATAACAGTAACTACTTATAATTGAATAGAAAAATATATTTTTCGAGGCATGTTGCTTATTAAATTACGCAGTAAGATTCCGCTTGTTTGAGGGTGGCCGAATTATGGCGTCGCATTGCGCAACGACGGAACCCATTGTGTTTTGACAAAATCTCAAATTAGACTATACGAGCCCTTTTCTCTTTTGGACAAAGCTCGCCTTTTGTTTAACCCGAGGTTTTAACTTTATGAAACAGTGATAAAATGACGTGATGGTTTTTTTAAAAGAGGTAAAACATCAATTTGCTTCTCCCGCCCAGGTTGTGGTAAGAGAGAGAGACAAGGTCACAATCTTACTGACTAAAAAGCATTCCCATAATTTATTTAAAGGAATGCTTTTTGATGCTTTTAAATTTATAGGAATGAAGTTATGTCATGTTTTTTTTAGCTAGCTGGAAACTTAGTTTCCAAGTCCATTTCTAACACATTGGTTAGATTTTACAAGTGTGACTTTCAAGTAAGAAAATGCAGTTTAAATAATCAGTTAAAGAAAATGCAGAGAAAAAAATGCAGTTAAAGACATCGAAACATCGTCATAGACGTTTCCGTCGACGTATCTAATTTAGCTTTTCATTATGCCAGGGACCCTAACCGACCTCCACCTAATAATCATCTAAAAATTGGCACCAATTGCTTACCATGAGGTAATAAGTTAGATCGTTTGCCGCTCTATCTATACTTCTATACTAATATTAAAAGAGGTAAAATTTGTAAGTTTGTAGGTATGTATACAAACATCTTTGGAACTGCTGGTCGGATTGTCAAAATTCTTTCACTGATAAATAGCTACAATGTTCCTGAGTGCTATAGGATATAAAACATCACGCTACGATAAAATGGAGCTGAGCAGCGGGTAAAACCCGCGAGAGTGGCTAGTCATATAGGTTTAAAAAAAAACATTACACGTCACGTAAAGCAAACATTCAAAGGGCACACAGTTATAATTTCTATTCAAATGTCATTTTTTGGGTTGTTAAGACGTAACTTAAAAAAAAATTCCTCCAAAAAAATCTTAGAAACTGAACTTTCTTTAGTTGAGAATGGTATAGCGTAGGGAATAGGCCCGCCCCTACAATACTCTTACTTAGTGACACATAGGACGTGTTAAATTTTTATGAGGAGGAGTTTAACCATTTTATTGCTCTTAAGGTTGTAAAGAGTTTAATCGCTAAGTAATAAAGATTAGTAGAATAACTCTTACTAGTAAATAAACTTGCATCAACACCTTCTTAATGGTAGTCTTGATGGTAATATTTTTGTTATGAGGGGATAGTCAACAAATGTTTTTTTTCGCTCAGGGTGAGGCGATAGGAAATGTCACACTCTTCTCTCTCTCTCGAATATTAAAGCGTAAATTACACAATGTATACATATAAGTTGTATAAGTTGTACAATGGCCTATAAGTTCCAAGATTTCCTCACGATAGTTTCCTTCTTCTTCTGCCAAGAGTGTCTAAATAATCTTAGGTTATACTCTGTTAAATCTCATTGGAACTTGTCATGTTTGGAAACTGCATCTTCATTTAAAGAAATTCAAATTAAATTTTGATGAAATATTGTCAGTTATGTACTTCATGCAAGTGTAGGCTTTATTTAATATCAGGCTACTGGCCATTATTAATATTTATGTTATTAAGGTTGACACTATGCAATCAGAAGTAGATAGGTATATGTATAAAAATATTTTTTACAAACTGTTTATATTGATGTTAATAAACCAGTCTTTTAATTAAAATAAAAAAAAACATTCGTTTTTTCATTCAATTCCAAGTAAAAAAATACATTAAATTCTAAATAAAGTGGCGAAATATTATTCACAACAACGAAAAACCAACACCCAACGTATTAACAAGAAATGGACTCACTCAGAACCCAACCATTGGTGATTTTGTCGTACATTTTGTGTGAAGGCTCGCGCACTATTGTGTTCAGTCGAGATTTATCACAATATATAACCAGAGATGTAAATGACTGTTTACGTTCCGACCACTAATATAAAGAGAAAACATTTGACGTGTAAGATAAATTTAAATTGTAATCTTTGTTATGTTTACTCCAAAGATGTGAGATGCACGTTCAGTAAATATTATGTACCGACTTTGGGGGCACGGCTGATGGTTTTTATCTCCAATTAGCCATCAGCTAACAAATCCTATTACGTCAAAATTGCAAGTGTAATACGCGTGACTTCTTAAATGTTTGTAGACGTTTTTCCCAGCATAAAATGTTTTATGAAAAGTGTGCACAGTTACAATTTTATGTGTATCTATCGTGATTTGGCGGCGTTGTATTTGCATAAATCTTCACAAACGTATTGTTTTAATACTGTTTGAGAGTTTTATTTCATACGAATGAAGGTTTTAGGTCGGCAAACGTTATTCCAAGCGCATTAAGGTTTATTTTATGCAAACGAGCATACGTATTACCTGGTGATGGTAAGCAATTAGCGCCGCCTATGCAAAAACTGAGCATTAGCGAGGGTGTTGTCGACCTTATGGGAGTAGGTATTTGAAGATTTTGGGATTGGGGTAGGGGAAGGATTGGGCCCCCGGTAATTCACACAACGCTGTGGTTGGTTCATGCCGGTTTTCTGTGAGGCCGTGGTATCACTCCGGTCGAGCCGGCCCATTCGTGCTGAAACATGGCTCTCCCATGTTTACGTATAAAACTACAAATGTAATATTATTATAGTCTATTATTTGATCTCGTAAGTCTGAGTCTCTGTCGCGTCGTGTCGTATTTTCTATTTTCCATTCAAAAAGAGGTTTTCAATAAAGTTCGTCGGCTCGCTCTGAGCGCTCGACGTGTTTCATCTATTTTCGCTTTAAAGTTTATAGACAAAAATAAACAAGTTCGACGTAAAAATAATTAAAGTAAGTATTTGTATTGTTGCCTACCTACTCCGCTTTTAAGTCTTGTTGCCATTTTGTAATGTAAAATCAACAAAGCGAGTATTTACATGGACTCCTCGCTACTGTTCCGATTAATATTTCATGAATGAAACAAACGAATCAAACGTTAGTTCGGTTCCGATATTCCTTTATCCGAAATGAATAAAGAGTAAAAGAATAAAACATGGCTGCCGCTCGCTCGAGGCTCCGATCTCTTGTAGGATTGCGTAATATTTTAACTAAAGCCGCTTACAATCTCTGTTTCACGATTTTTGAGTGAGGATTTTGGAGACCTATATTTTGTTGTTGTTACTGTTTTACGTCATCTAATAATACAAACGAATCATTTATTCAAAAATTAACATTATAAGTAAGTAATAAATTTACAAACGTATCTTTTTAACATTCACTGAAAACGGATCTTGGCAGGACCGTTTTGTAGCCGTGGAACTTTTAGCTTGATAGATGGAGATTACATTTGGGACCTCCGACTCGTTTTCACGCGTTTTTTATCTCGTTTAGTCACCTTCCGAGGAATGGTTTCTGCTTGTGATTCTATATTACGTGTCATCATATTCTTGAATTTGTAGAAACCTTCTTTCTTAATGTTGCTCTTTCTGGTACGTCTACTGATCTCCTTGGACCGGGACGGCGTGGCGCTCTTTAACTTGCTCTTAAAATTCTGTTGTCTTTGCCTCGTCGTTCGAACTTTTCCCTTTTCTTGTCTTTTTATTTTCTTAGTCATTATTTCCAATGTGTATTTACGGTATTCGTTCGTTATTAATTACGTAAAAAACATTATTGGCCAACGTGTTTATATAAGGTTGTCAGTGTCAGTAATTTGACGTATTGACGAATTAAAAATATTTTTTATCTAGTTGACCGAAATTAAATATTAAAAAAAAAACTTAATACTAAACTTTGATTATAGCTTCCGATGCTTGAAGAGTGGTTGATGAAGAATAAAAATTTAAAAAAAATATTTTGCCTTAAATTATTTATGTGACGAGGGAAAACGCAAGAAAGTCTGTTCACGCCTGTCATTGTAATGATCAAGTTTTGAAGTTTTATTATGACACACCGTGATAGGATTCCATCATTTCATTACAGAGTTCCGTCCGAGACTAGTATGACTATTTTTCAGCTTCATTATTAGGCCAGATAAGAGGTTTTGGCTTTCGCTTAGAATACAGATTGCTCTGTATTCTGAGGGCTGACGCACAACTCCTTTGGTGTTTCGTGTGTCCATGGGCGGCGCTGATTGCTTACCATCAGGTAATGGTACGCTCGTTAGCCGCCCTATATCGTAAAAAGCAGAGTATTGACTTTCCAGCTGACTGAATTACTATTGACGTACGTCAGTGGCAAAGTGAGCGTCAGACTATCTAAAAGTACGGGTGACATTGCCATTAGGAAAGAAAAAAACCGTCTAAAAATCAAATGACAAAAGCAAGGCAAATCGACGCTTGAAATCCCAGCCAGGGTTGCGGGTGCAAGCTCCTCCTGGCCTGAGACAGGCAGGAGAAGGATAGGGAAGTTTTTAGTCAGTAAGACTCTGATACACCCTTTCACCCCGTCAAATCATTAGATGTTTTTTTTTTCGCTCAGATAAAGGTAAACGCATAGATACCAACCCGTGTCCGTTCCGTAACGGTACAAAAAAGTTTCGTATGCGATCTTGAAGAGTTTGCTATAAGTTTTCGAGAACCATTTTAGGCGAACTATTCATCAAACTTGGACGTCATTACGGAAGAGTCAACTACTGAAGAATTGAGTTATAAAGCGTTTTAATGGGACACATTAATTTAAAGGATTTTCTGTCCTCTGAATTTACTGCTATGAACTTACTAATAGTGCCTGCTATATATTTTTTAAAGTAATATTCATTATTAATTACGTGAGTTTTTTCTTTTTATATACATAACTATGTTCTGCCCGCAACTTCGCCTGCGTGTTAGATAAAAATTAGCCATGTGCTAATCCAGGGTATCGCCTAACAGCATACTAAATTTCAACCGAATCGTTCGTTGAATTTTTGGGTGAAAGAATAACAAACATACATGCATACATTATCAGAAACTCTCACATCTATACTAATATTATAAATAGGTAAAATTTGTAAGTTTGTAAGATTGTATGTAGGGGGGTAATCTTGGGAACCGCTGGTCGGATTGCCAAAATTTTTTCACTGAAAGATAGCTAGAATATTCCTGAGTGCCATAGGCTATTAAACATCACGCTACGCTTACATGGAACCGAGCAGCGGGTGAAACCACGCGAGAATAGCTAGTTAGTAATAAATACGTAGAAATAATAAGTAGGATAGTATGGGCTATGAAATATTAATTTTATTGTGCGTATAATTTGGTTAAAACGAATTTAAGACTTAAAGAAAAAATATATATTATGTTTAAAAGAATAAGGCATTTGCCCGTTATCATCCACATTCCCATTTAAAATTGTTAATAAAAATTTCCAGCAAAAAAAGCACTATTTTATTTTATTAAGACACTGCTTTTGCCTGCGGCTTCGCTCTAGTTAAATTCGGGGTGAAATGGACACCATTCCTGATAAAAAACACAGAAGAGAATATAATATTATTTAGAAAGGAACAGAATATTATTTAAATACGCTACTGTAGACGATATTATGTATGTCTCTTGTTTTGAGGATAAAATGTAAAGTTTTTGTAAAGTTTCTTGACATTGTAGACAGTTTGGTACGCGCTAATATACAATTTCCCGCATCCCGTTTTTAAAATCACGTCAACTCGTCACTTCCTTATTCAATGATAGACGGACGAACAAACAGACACATTCTCTTTCCCAATTTTTTATTTGGTCAGTAAAGCTTAGTTTTCATTCCACACTTCCGTCCATATTTTACTCTCACGAATGCCTAAATTTGTGTAAAAAAGTCGTTTTCAGTTATTTCTATTTCAAATTCAATACACGTAGAGGACGGAGCCTTTTTGCCTGAAATAGTTGGTAGGTGGAAATATACTATATACCTACTTTGGTATTAAAACGAGGGAAATAATCGATATCAGAATACGAGTTTTATGCGTGCTTAGAATCGTGGTATCGATCTCTCGAATCACGGAAATCAAACCTCTTTGCTATTACAAACTCAACTCTCTAAAGTTTTTTTTATTATTAATGCTCGTAAAAAGAGCGGGAAAAATCACGATCGGCCGATATAATAATTTAATTTTTTTATAAACATAAAGTTGAGCTTTTCTTAAGAAGGCTTGTTCTATGGAGGTTTTTATTTTTTAATGAGTTTAATTACTTAATTTCGTATACATTTTTAATTTTGCTATAGACTGGCGCCACACCGCTTAAGAAACGAAAGATTTTTTTTTGTGTAAAGCGGTAAATGAGCAGAAGGATCACTTATCACCTGATGTTTAGCATCGGCGCCGCCCAGAGGCAGCAGAGACAAGACCAGATAAGTTACAAATAAACTGTGACTCTTTTGGGGTTTCTTAGGGATTTAAGGTTTACGAATTAGGAATTGGAAAGGATTGGGCCTCCTGTAACCTTGAACATGCGTCGAAATAAGTATTGTTTCACGGTGCTTTATTGTGGGACCGTGGTATCACTCCGGTTGAACGGGCCCTCCGTAGCAAAGAATGGCTCTCTCATACTTAAAATAACTGATCTGATCACTTTCTTCTTTTTTTATGATATTGTGGCAAACGAGCAGATGGATTTCTTAATGGTAAGCAATCATCAATCATCACATGGTGAATGGTTGATTTACGCCGGTTTTCGATGAAGTCACCGCCACTTCGGTCGAGCTGATTCCTTCATGCAAAAGCATGGTTCCCCCAAACTTACTATTCTCTAGTATAGCACATAGAACCTATCCAGACATTGAAAAACTGCCTTACAAAGTACTTGAATGTTAATTAAAATGATATAATGAAGAGGATTTTATCCCAAACAGAAAACAATTAACCGTCTACCGATCGATATTTAATTAATAAACGGAAATCAATGTTTTATGCATGCTTTGACTCTTTCTTCGTTT